CCCGCAGGCCAGACTAGTCCATCCCTCCTCGGCCGCCGCAGCTTAGCAACTGCCGGCGGCAAACCCCTCCGCCCCTTCGTCGCCGTCGCCGCTGCAGCCGCCGCCGCGGAGGGACGGGCCCTGCCGCCGCGCATGCGCCCCGCTCACAGCCGTCATTGAGGCTTGTCGCCCCCTGGAGGAAGAAACAGTATGACGAGAGCGAAGGAAGTTTACGTCACGCTCAGTCGCCATGTTTGTTGAGGGCACACGGAGGCTCGTGAGGCCTTCTTTGATGAGGGCACAAGTTTGGGCGGGGGGCGGTCTGGTGAATATAATTTGTGGGTTTGCAGTTGGGGAAATTGAGACCCAGAGCCAATAGAGGAGATTGACCGCAGTGTCACACAGGGATTGAATTTGACCTCAGACATCCTGAAGCTCCAAGCAGGGTTCTAGTAGTTGAATCACCTAGTTTCGCATTAATTAATAAGCAGACTGGATCTTTCCTTGTGTTTTGATTCTGTCTTCCTCCATCCTTTCTTCCTTCCTCTCTTTATTAATTTTACTAAAAGTACTAACAGGAAGAGAAGAAAAGGGACATGCGTATAGAGAATTGGAAGGCAAAAAAACGATTAAATTTAGGAGAGTGATCTCTTCTGCAGGGGAAGGAAGATGAGTTACGGGAGAAGCGCCGAAATGGGGAGTTGGAAACTCGACCGAAATCTCACTGTGGGACTGGGGCAAACAAACCCTAATTCCTCCCTGCGTCTATTTCCCTATCTGTGAAATAAAAGGTGACACTCAGTTGAGTCTAAGCTCTTTCCCAGGCTTTGCATTTTCTGAGTCCATGAAAACAGTTTGTAAAACATGAAGCGTCGGCTTCCTTCCTTGGCGCTAAAAATCGTGGATATAGTTCCGGTTAGGAGCCATGCGAATGTTACTCAACTTCTCCACGTCTTACTTAATTCCTCATCTGTAAAATGTAGATAATAGTACTTACTTTCCCATTGTGAAAATTAATATAGTACCGACACGGTAAGTGCTCACTGAGTATTAACTTATTGCTAAATTAGCAATATATTTAAGGCTCAATTTTCATGGAAAATCTTAGTGTGGATTATGCAACCGCAGTGAATTTGTGGCCCAGTAACCTGCTCCATTGGTGTAAAAAGATGAACTAAAGACATTGTCGTTGGAAATGCCAAGGGGGAATGTTCTTGCTAAGAGGGATTACCCTAGTATAACCTGTCAAGGATCCCAGATGCTGGGGGTTTCCATTGTCTCAGAAACTGAGGCAGGTGTGGTCTCCAGGTGTCCAGTAAGAGGTGACTCAGCACAGGGAAGAGGACCCCTAGGCTTGTAGCTCCCCTGGGTTTTTTCCCAGCTGTCCATATAATCAGCAACCTGGCTCCATCAGGTAGCTGACTCGGATTGGCTGGGGAAGGCCAGATGGTGAGCCTGGCCCTGCCTGGACAAGTGCAGTATGACTGTAAGGTGTGCTGTCAACACAATGCGTTGTTTCCTGTCTCCTCAGAGCACACCCTTTAAATGGAATTGCTATTGTTCAGTAACTGGACTGGGCTTTCCCCAGGGCTTGTTCCTGTTTGCTCCCAGTGACTTCCCCAGCAGTGATTCTTAATTGCTTAATTGTAAGAGGTGATGAGGGAGGCTCCCTTGAAAACAAACACCAGCCCACCCCTTCCCCTTTCCAACTCAAATCCCACCCTAAAACAACACAAGCTTTGCAGTGCACCTCCAGAGAAAGAAGTCTAGGCCATCAAACTGTATTCATGAGTAAAGAGGTGGATGGATCTCCAAAAATACACAGCTTTGGTTTTCTTTTTCTCTTTATTTGGAAGACTTGCCAGTTCGCATTTGGTCAGCATTTCCCTTTGGGGAACTCACAAGTTTTCCGGAGTATAGGGAACAAGGAGAAAGAGAGAGAAAAATCCCCTATTGAGAACTCCCTTGTTTCAGGCAGCTTCTGAACCACAACTTCCCTCAGTTAACCAGCCTTGCCTGTCTGGCTGGCCTTACACCCCAGGACAGTTGACACCAGGGATGAGCTTTTTAAGGAGTCTATGTTCTAGATGCTCTGCCTATATTTTTCTTTTGGACTCCATAGTAGCCCCATAAGATGTCTTGAGAGAATGACGAATTCTCCCCATGTTTTTAAGGGCAATGGGAGATAAGGGGGGATTCCTACTCGACTCTCTCCCTGGGCTGAGTGTATAGGAACATAGCTATCTAGCTTTCATCTGCCTCTTCCCCCAAACAGAAGGAAGAATTCCCTGTCGGGTGAGTTTCTGAGAAGGCTTAGTGCTGGGTTTGGCCACCCTGGCTCCAGAGAGGATGCACTATTATCTGCTCTCTGTAGTTGCCCCTGTGTTAGTGATTGGGTGTAATCGTTCCTCTCAACCACATCCTCCACTCCAGCTTTTGTCATAAACATAACGTTTTGATCTCTCCCTGTCTCCTGTCTGCTTTTATTTCTCAGTTCTGAGCCACTTAAAACGCCAGCAGGGGTGCTGTTGTTATCTTTCCAGTTTTATTTATTTATTTAGAGACAGAGTTTCACTTTGTCAACTTTGTGTCCTCATAGCTCACAGCAACCTCAAACTCTTAAGCCCAAAAGATCCTCCTGCCTCAGCCTTCCAAGTAGCTAGGATTATAGGCGCCCACCACAACGCCCGGCTATTTTTAGAGATAAGGTCTCACTCTTGCTCAGGCTGGTCTCGAACTCCTAAGCTCAGGCAATCCACCTGCCTGGGCCTCCAAAAGTGCTAGGATTATAGGCATGATCCGTGGCTCCCAGCCTATCATCCCTGTTTGAAAGAGGAAGAAACAGAAGCATAGAGAGGTTCTGTAATGTTCCACAGAGCTGGAGAATGACAGTAGGAACAGGCATTTGAAACCAGTCTGCTCTGCTGAGTGCTCTCATGTGCCATGATGTAAGGACAACAAGCTTGTATGTGCAACCAGCCCCTTTCTGCCCTTGTGCAAAAGTAAGCAAGAGGAGATAATGTGTTCTCATGACCAACTGCGAATGCTGGGACGCTTCTCGCCTTGGGAGGCTGTCAAAACCAGATAGACCAGCACACGGAATGTTGCTCGACATGCCCAAGCAATCTGATAAACAGATCAGGATGCCCCCCAGCCAGCAGTGTCCAGGTAAGTGTATCTTTCTGAGTTCTGTTTTGGGTAATCACACGTAAGGCTTTAGAATAAGGAACAGGAATACAGGCTGGGCTTGGTGGCTCATGTCTTAATCCTGGCACTCTGGGAGGCTGAGGCAGGTGGACTGCTTGCGCTCATGAGTACAAGACCAGCCTGAGCAAGAGCAAGATCCCATCTGTCCTAAAAATAAAAAAAAAAAGGCTTGGCGCCTATAGCTCAGCCGGCTAAGGCGCCAG